AGGCATAAGAATGAAATATGGACCACCTATCTTGCTTATTCTAGGAACAACTTAATAATTTTTGTGAATCTTCTGTCCTGCAAATATAGCAATATAAATATCGTGAGAGATAAACATATTATGTCATTGTGTAGATGCCTACAAGTTATGTACAATGATATATCTAGTTGAATTAGAATTCTTTAGGAAATGAAATTTTTGCATCAAAAACGATTCAAGTCCAATTAAAATTAAAAAAGAAATTGCAATAAATTCTTGTAACATCTTTGTAGATGTTAATTCAAAAATTAAAGCAAATTTTCAATTTCAATTAACGAAATATTAATTTATTTAAGTATCATAAATGCAGCAAAAATGTGACAGAGTATTTACTGTCAACTATGCGAAAATGCTGGAATGAATTGTATTATCAAATACGTAAGATCGCCAGCGAAATTATCTAGTTCATAATTTAATTTAGTCAATTATATCTAACTTAATTTTGTGCAAATTAACGTGAACAAGAAGTAATTGTTAGATTTAAAAACATTTATTACATAAAAAGAATTTACAGTATTTATTACAATATTTTTTTATAAATACTAAAATATTGTAATAAATCCTTTTTATATACTAGATGTTACGTAATAAATTTAAAAATTACCTGTTGTTCACATTAATTTGTATAAAATTGCAGCACTCGCTCTATACATTAAAAGTCACAATTTTTTCTACTGGCAATAGTTTTCAAAATCCTTTTGAAATATTTATTCAGTATAGTTCAGTTATGTGCACTTAGAAGCGTACCAAAAACTTAAAAAGAAAAAACAATTTTCTTCTTTATAAAGAAGCTTCAATAATTCGCGATTGTTTCTCCAAAATTTATTCTGATTATAATTATTTTTGTAATAATATATATTACGAATGCCAACGAGCTGCTTTTAAGCAAAAGAATATTTTTTCCACATATTACATGAATTCACAAATTTACATCATCTCTTTAGTTTCTGCGTAACACGCTTATGCTGATGATAGTATATGTCATTAAATAGCTTAATTTGAGATTAATAAATGTTACGAAGAAAAAAGATAAACAATGAAACAGAAAAAAATTGTATGTGCAAGACTACAACATGTCAAGCATTTTTGAGACATGATTTATCCAAATGAAATACTTCCTATTTCAATTATAATAGATATAACATTAATAAAAACACATAAGTTGCGGCGACCGTTACTCAACATCCATTTTTTCTTCCTCTGTTTGTTGCTGCTGTTGATTGGACTGACTGTGATTGTTACCTTGGGCATTTTGATTTTGATTATTTTTCTGTTCATCAGCAGGTTTATCTTTTGGTTTTTCTTCCTTTGGTGGTTCTACTTTAGGTTTAGGCTTATTGAGAATAGGTAGTACCACACTATCCATTGCCTAAATAACGAAAAAATAAATACAATAGAAGAAAATTGTTTATGATTACAGCTGATTTTTTTTCAACTTACTTGTTTCTCGGCTCGAATCTGCGCTACAGTAACTGGTGGTTGTTGCGTGCGAAGTGTACTCGCAAGTAGAATACGTTTCTCTTCTAACCATGTCCATTTCTCTTGCACAGTTTTCTCAACTGTTTTCATTTCTTCCTCTGTTAAATGAGAATACTTGTCATCCTTTCCATTCAACATTTTTATTTGATCCAGATTTTTCTTAGCCAATTGTAACGCCACTCCAAATTCTTCTAATGCGTACGATCTCCCTTCAAATTCGAATCTTCTTTCCTTTATTGGTTCTCCCTGAGACTAATAAAATGAAAACGGGCGTTTAAAAATTCTATTTCATAAAGGCAAGAATTATTAAAAAATAAAAACTAGGAAAACTTGCATAAGATATTATTATAACTGCGAAGATTTTCTCGTTATTATCCGTATATAAAGTATAAAGACTGATTCCTAATGACACGCTATTTTTTGAGTAACAGCGACTCCACGACAAATTCGTGCGAGTCGTTTCAGGCATTGAATGTGCCCTTATGTGTCTCTTTCAATTATTGTAGCATAATAAATCTAAACGTTGCGTTTTTTAAACAGAGTTGTTTATTGCACGTAAATCTCCCATCAGCGCGAGTATCCGCAAGAGCTTGCAAAACGTAGGAGCGAATCCGATGAACATTATAAATCGATAATTAATATTTTATCAAATAATACCTTCAACCGCGTCAATCGTTCTGAATAAACTTGTCGTTGACAATCTTCTCCTTCTTCGTAAAGCCAATTTTCAGTATCATCTAATGTACGACACAATGTTTCTTTATCCATTTCTGTAATGAATGTAGCTAATTGATCCTCTTCGGTCAATTTAGCACGCAGATCATAAACATATTCTTCCAAGGCATTACGCGCGTCAACTCGTTCTTTTTCCTGTTTATCTTCAGCAATCATTTTACCCTATTCATGAACAAAATGTATGTAATTATATAATGATTCGATGTTACACCGACAAGTTTTTTCGTTATAATTGTAGACAAAATTATGCAACGTTCATAAAAGTTACATAATGCTTGAGATATATCTTAAATGATACATACTTCTTTTTCTATTGCAGCATCGAGATCTCGAAGAGATAGTCCGCAAACATTAGCTTCAATAGGTAAATCAATTGTACGAATAGGAATCTTTTTTTTACTTTTATCATCGTTCTTA